ATAGAATAGAATAGAATAGAATAGAATAGAATAGAATAGAATAGAATGTCTTGGTGTAAATACTCCCAGTATACATATAACAAAAGATACATTCATTAAGATTTGAGAATCATAAGGTACAACACTTAATGATAGTCATAGGGTACAATAAGCAATGAAATCATACTAGGAAACAGTCAATATAAATCATAAGTATACAAGCGACAAAGTTACAGTCATACAGTCACAAGTAGGAGGGTATGGGTGATAAGGAGTGATGAGAAGATTAACAGTAATAGTAGTGCAGACTTTGTAATAGTTGAACAGTGTTGAGGGAATTATTTGTTTAGCAGATTGATGGCTTTCAGAAAAAACTGTTCTTGTGTCTAGTTGTTCTGGTGTGCAGTGCTCTAAAGCGTCGTTTTGAGGGAAGGAGTTGAAACAGTTTATGTCTGGGATGTGAGAGGTCTGTAAATATTTTCACAGCCCTCTTTTTGACTCGTACAGTATACAGGTCCTCGACTGAAGGCAGATTGGTAGTAATTGTTTTTTCTGCAGTCCTATCCTCTGAAGTCTGTGTCTGTCCTGTTGGGTTTCAGAACCAAACCAGACAGTTATAGAGGTGCAGATGATAGACTCAATAATTCCTCTGTAGAACTTGATTATTATATATGGAAAGTACAATAATTAATAAAAGATAGAAAATGACTTTTATAAAGAAGAAAGAAACATCTATCATAAACATCCTGCACACTTCAAAATATTCTGGGCAATATGCTATGGTTCACATATAGGATTCTAGCTTAATGTTAAGTTTCCTTCTTGCCCCACTTGAACTGTGAATACAGCTTATGATATACCCAAACATTCCTGTGATTTGGAACTTTGGAACTTTGGTAATGGTAAAATTGGGCATCTGTTTTTTTTTTAATAAATCATATTAGTTTTCTGCAACCCACAGAATTATTTGCCCCTTTGCTTGAAAGCTATTATGTTTGAGCAACAGATAGATAACCACAAGGAACACTCCCTCACAACGGTGGGAAATTGTGCTACTGCTCCTTTATATGTAGATCTGTTAAACCATAGTAAAAGTTCATTCATGTGGTTCTTTCTAAACTGCTACTGGTATTTATCTGAACAGATTATGTTACAAGCAAAAGATGTAACACTTATATACCTGACAACATATAATTATTTCCTTGCAGCTGATACAAACTGTTAGTGCTGTGGATAAAGATGAACCACCACGTGGACACAAATTTTTTTTTGAACTAGTGCCAGAGTACACAGTCCATCCAAACTTCTCTATTGTGGATAATAAAGGTAGGTTTTAATTATAGGTTCTCTATGTTATATAATGATTCCTTTGCTGACAATGTTTTAAATATAATTTTCCATGTCTTTGGTTCTTCTGGTACAGATAACACAGCAGGCGTTGTAACCAGACGGAATGGATATAGCCGCAATAAAATGAGCACCTATCTCTTGCCAGTAATAATATTTGACAATGACTACCCCATCCAGAGCAGTACAGGCACACTGAGCATCAAAGTGTGTGCCTGTGACAGCAGGGGAAATATGCAGTCTTGTAATGCTGAAGCTTTGCTCCTTCCGGCAGGCCTTAGCACAGGTGCACTCATTGCCATTCTGCTGTGCATTATTATTCTGTTGAGTAAGTGGACCATTTCCTTTTTCCTTCTTTGTACCTGGATATTGTTTCAAAGAGACTACATTTTCAGAAGAATTCGCTATCTCCTTAATCCAGGCCAGGACTGTCAAACTTGCAGCCCATGGCCGGGATGCATCACACGCTCACCAGGCCTGGTTTAGTGAAGGGGAAAAAAGTCCCAATACATCACGTGATGCGAGTTTGACAGTCCTGATCCAGGCTTTCACAAACAGTAAGTTCTCCAGCATTTAGGTGCTGGAGAACTCTCAGTCTTGTAAAGCCAAAGATGCAGCACAATCCCAAGATTAGCTGAGATACTGGTGGACTACCATAAATAGAATGATAAGTTCTCCAGCATTTAGGTGCTGGAGAATTCTTAGTTTGTAAAATCAAGCTTGTTGGCTTAGTTATTGCAAGCAGTTTGGTCTTATTTAAAGATTGGTTTTAAAATGGAGTATTTCTAAAGATAGTTCTGATATTGATGATGGCATGACTCAGATGTCATTTTTATATTCAACAGTAATGTAGTACTCATTTTATTTCTGATTGATATCTCATTTCAAATCTCTAAAGTTTCAAAAAACAAACAAACATTGAGATTCCGCCAGATACTTAATGTGTAAACAATTTTATTCATTAGTACTGCATGTTCTAAGGTCCCGGGTAGATGAGAACTGCTGTTGATAGCAATAAATTGCTGCTTGCTAGAAATTAAAGTTTGTATTTTTTTTAAAAAAATAGTTATTTAGATTTATCACCTGCTATTTCTCTAGAGGTTCAGGGCAACTTATGTCAGGATCTCCTTTCATCTCATGAAGATAGTTTTACTCAGTAATAAATCTACCAAAATCAGCTGCTTATCACACTGGTGATATTTGTATTACTAAAATCAAAACCCCATCATTATCCTTATTGCAAAACAGACATCCATTTACTCTTTAAAATAATCATATGTTATATACTGTACAATTGTTAAAGTTCAAGATCCCATCTGGTTAACTGGTATCAAAATTCACTATATTTGTTACACTGAATTATTGCGCCTCAGATGACTATGGAATGCACCTGAGTTTTACTCTCTAATCATCTTGACCTCCATGAATTCAACCAATACATTTCACTATGGAATCTGAGCGTTTAGTTTATTAAAATGTCAGATGACACCAAAATTGATTCTCACACTCAGAAGTTTTAAATATAATTTTTCATGTCTTTGGTTCTTCTGGTTTGTTGAAATTGAAAGTTCATTTTCTGTAAATATAAAATTTTAATAGGAAAAGTTAAAAGGTGTGCTCAAAAAGAAAAAAAAACCTGATGGAGAGTAGAATCAAAACAGTTTGAATTGTTTTGTGATGATGTTGATGGTGTTGTGTGTTGGATGGAAAGACATGAGACACATGGTAGCTCAGTGGCTTAATGATGCTGGAGATGATTTCAGCTTTGGCAGTTCAAACATAGGCACAGCATGGGAGGGTAAGCTCTTGTCACCCACATCAGCTTCTGTCCACCTAACAGTTTGAACGTATATTCTGTGCAAGTAGGTAGATAGGTACCACTTCAATAGGGCAATGAGCTGGTGTTCTGTGCAGGCAGTCAGATTTCTGATGGTTCTGACTTTTCCTGGTTGCAGTGCCCTCTTGCGAGGCAGTTCTGAAAAGGGAGGCGACCTTGGTGGACGCTACAGGAAGACCCGCTCATTTTTTTCTCTGGTGTGAACATATCCTCCTGTGGTACACTTTGGGAAGCATGCAAACTTGTCTTATAACAGGTCTGATCCCTTGGCAAGCCAGACTACTATTGTGCCATAACATTGTGGTATCCTGGCTACTATAATAATGCTATTCACTAATAATAATGATGATGGAAAGATATAGCAACAATCAATATATATAACTGTTGAAGGATTTCAAAATACACTGTCAGATTACATTTTTGGAGATCATTCAAAAGTTCATAAAGCATCCAAATAGTCATAGTCATGAGATAGCATGATGTTGTTTTTAAATCAAGCTGTTAAAACCTGTTCTTTAAATAAAGTGCCAATCTTTAAGTATGACACTTGATGTTATTTCTCCTTATAACAACTATGAACAATACTAGAGGAAGCTGACTGTGTAAACTAAAGAGCTGCTGTGAACTCACTCTGTAGATAAGACAGAAAAGGAATCCTACTATTATTCCAACAAGCATTGTGAGGGTCCTTCCCCCGCTCTTCTGAAATCACTGCTCCATTCAAACACTCTGAACAGAATAGACCAGACCAGATAAGCCACCCGCATTTATTAGTCAATTTATTTTTGCAACATTTTAAATGATTCTCAGTACATTGAAAGCTTTCTTTGGGCATTTGTTATCTATGGATACGAAATATACAAAAGGACTTTCAAGAATGTGGTACCTGCTGCTATTGTCTAAATATACACATATGCAACCATAATCATAGATGACCTGACCACTAGTGTTTCCAGGATTCTCCTTTTGCCCTAATGGAAATAGTTATGAGGGAAATTGCTAGGAAGACTGGGGAAAAGAAGGAAATTAAGAAGATCCAGACAAGGAATGTGGACGAATGGAAAAAGGGGAAAAAAACTACTTTACAAGTTTTGATTTATAAAAGAATTGGTAAAAAGCAAACCTAGGCCAAAGTTGATATACTGATATTTGGGGGAAATTGAAAGCAGGTTTCAAGAGAGCTTACCCCCAAATAAAACAAATATTTTAATACACAGAAAGCAGATAAAAACTATTGTGTACAGAATGGAAAGTATAGACAGCATATAACAGTTGACAACATGTTGAATGGAAAATAGAATACATTGGGTCCATTTTGACATGGATTGTTTTCATAATTTTATTTTAAAACTAAGATTTCAAAAGAGATGGCCCTTATTATCCAGATAACAGATAATGAGACCTTGAAAAAGAATTCATTTCTACCATTTTGCAGATTTATATAATATAAAAAGCACTCCAAAAGAGTTCTTCAAACGGAATCACATAACAAAAATGCAGCTAAACAACATATTTTACTAATCATATCTATGATAATTCTGTTGTGTATTTACCAATTAACTATGTATACATAAAACTTCAATTAACAATTGTATATAATATATGAGAAAACAATCATATCATTCTATGTATTTCTTTTAAAAAGAGTGGAATGTGGATTGGAGAGGCATAGTTCACCTGATTAAGGTGAGAATATGCCATTATTTTAGAAAAGAGGAAAGGTCAATTTATTTTTAGGTGTAGTGGAGAAAATATATAGCTTTTTAAAAAGTTATCTATGCCTTAAAATGCTTGTATTGCTTTTCTTTTATTTAATTTAATTTCCTGGCTTGGCCTTATCCTATTTTCTGAATTGCCCTACTCATCCCATGGCAATACTTATGGTAGTAATTCTGACATTTCTCCAGAATTTCAAATATGCCTTCACAACCAAAAGGTTGCCTGTTTTTAGGTTCTAGGGTATAGCAATAGCAATTGCACTTAGACTTATATACCATTTCACAGTGCTTTACAGCCCTCTCTAAGCAGTTTACAGAGTCAGCATATTGCCCCCAATAATTTGGATCCTTATTTTACTCACTTCAGAAGGATGGACGGCTCAGTCAACTTTAAGCCTGATGAGATTCAAACTGCCAAATTTCAGGCAGCTGGCAGTCAGCAGAAGTAGCCTGTAGTATTGAACTCTAATCACTGTGGCACCACGGCTCATAAGTATGTGTACTGTAAATATCATATGTATGGATCTTGCTCACCATTCATGCTTGATCAGTGTCAGATTTAAACAAAATCTTATGCGCATATTAAGATATACAATTCATCCCATGAAAGTGGGAATCTGGTTTAAAGGTTAAAGTTCTTGTTCCTATGGATATATCATAACATGCAGGAGAACCTCCTTTGCTCTGGGCTCAAAAATACAGTGCATTCAAAAAGTATTCAGACTCCCTTCACTTTTCTCAATTTTGTTATGCTGCAGCCTAATTCTACAGTTGTTGAAATTCATTTTTTTCTCTCATTAATCTACTCAGTAGCCGATAATGACAAAGTGAAAATAGAATTTTAGAAATCAGGCTGCAGCATAACAAAATTGACAAAGGTGAAGGGAATCGGAATACTTTCTGAATGCACTATAAATATATTTTGGTTAGATTAACCATTTTAACAAGCCCACTCATATGTTGGCCATTATATCTCCAAACAATATATAAAGAATAATCCCTGCAGTTTATTCTATATTGATAAAGAAGCTCTTTTCAATGAGCTTTTCTTTTTAACTCCATTTAATTAAGAGTGTAATATGTATCTTAATCTTACTTGTTGTAATTAACGAATGTAAAAGGTTCTTAGCTTTGCCAACATTGTTCCTAATCCACTAATTTCCTACTCAGTGCTCAATACCCATCTGTATTGTTACTGTTGTCTTCCAGTTTTGGTTGTGTTGTTTGCTGCAATGAAGCACCAGAGGAAAAAAGAGCCCTTGATCATTTCAAAAGATGATGTCCGAGACAACATTGTCACCTATAATGATGAAGGAGGTGGGGAGGAAGATACCCAAGCCTTTGATATTGGCACTCTAAGGAACCCTGAAGCCAGAGAAGAAAGCAAAATGAGAAGAGATGTGATGCCAGAAACTATTTTCCAGATAAGGAGGACAGCATCTTTGTGGGAAAACATTGATATCCAAGATTTTATCCATCGGAGACTAAAGGAAAATGACTTGGATCCAACTGCACCCCCTTATGACTCTTTAGCAACATATGCCTATGAGGGTAATGATTCTATAGCAAATTCACTTAGTTCTTTGGAATCACTTACCGCAGATGGTGGAAATCAAGACTATGACTATCTGAGTGACTGGGGGCCACGATTTAAAAAATTAGCAGATATGTATGGTGGAGATGAGAGTGACCAGGACTAACTGCCTCCTTCAAGATTTCTGATGCAGCTCCAGCATTCTTGTGCATGAGCAGGGACTTCCTCTCCCCTCCCCTCCCCTCCTCTCTTCTCCATCCTCTCCTTTTTGTTTTCCTGAGTGAGGAGGCCAGGCAGCAGCCTTGTGCAGACAGTCTCATGATATGCACATGGAATATTCCTTGTAACTATAGAGACTGGGTAGGGGGAGATGTCCTACATGGAAGGAGCACCTCATTGATGTTGGAGATTCTTGGATCACAGCCTGAAAATAGTATTTTCTGAGTAGTATACTATTCCTGAATAGTATTTTCTCATCTCTCTTGCTGATGGGATCAATGCCTCTGTAATTAGATTAAAGTGGCCTATATTCTCTTACTTGGAAACAAACAAACAAACAAAACATAAGTGTGTGTTTTAGTAAAAGTTTGCTTAATAAGTCAGTGTGAATGAAAATAACTGTTTTTTAAGACAGAAGTAATATCTCATCCTTTTTGTCTAAGAGGTTAGAAAAAGGATATTCATTATTAATTGGGGTGGGTGGATAAATATCTTTAAAAGGCTTTTTGTGCCTTTCAGAAGGACTTTTGGGAACGCAACTTTTTTTTTTTTTAAAAAATAACACTTCACTTTCCTTGCTACTGTCCCCTATACTGTCCTCTATCCAATAACGTAAACTGATTACTCCTTTAAAAAAATAAGAATGAATATGACTGCCATATTTATTGAGTTAAAAATGTAAGTGTTGATTCATATTTTTCTATCTATATATACAAATATAAATATGTATATTTATATTTTTGTATTTTTTATTAAATAAATTAGAATTTATGAATAGATTATGTTTTCATTTACTTCTGCTTTGTGTGGTCTTTACTCAAGCCTGTGTAGTATGTTTCAAGTTGAGTGAAAGGATGTTTCCATGCAGACCCTGTTTTTGCCCTGAAAACTATTTTCAGACTAGATGATGGTTCTTATCGCAATGGTCTTCCTCAAAATACTTGATGAGGGAAGTATGACTTCACATCCAACAGCACTTGTCTCCATCAATGGATCTGATTACTTTTCATGTTACCTTTTGTGATTTCCATGTCATGCAGTAGTTTATTATAGCAATAGATGTATATACTGTTTCATAGTGCTTTACAGCTCTCTCTCAGTGGTTTACAGCATCAGCATATTGCCAACAAACTGGGTCCTCATTTTACCAACCTTGGAAGGATGGAAGGCTGAGTCAAACTTGAGCCTGGTGAGATTCGAACTGCTGGACTGCAGTCAGCAGTAAGCAGAAGTAGCCTGCAGTACTGTATTCTAACTACTGTGCCACCGTGGCTCATTATGAAGAGGTTTTCAAAAATCCTTCACCCCATCGCTCATTTTAAAGATAATACAGATAATCTTTGTTTAATGACTACAATTGGAACCCTCAATTTGGTGTTCAAGCAAAGTTATTCCTAAATGAAAACCCAACTGTGCTTATGATTGTACTTTAGCTTTCATTTGCTTTCCAGACCTGTAATGATCATAAATGCCAGGATTGATTGCAGATTTACTTTCTCATCACCATTACTACTGTGAATGGTCGCAAAGTGAGGCAGTCACTAAACAAAGACTACCTATGTGAAATGATTGCACTGGCCTTGCTCTTGAGACAGAGAGGAGAGAATATACTTTGGCAGCAATTTAGTCCTGTGAAATGAAGACAGAAATTCACTTTGCTGCCCAGTTGAGATGGAAGATGTGATCACATGACCTCAGAAACAGTGCTGGGGTGACAATATTTCTGCAAATGGAAAGGCCTTAGCTATGCTTAGAGAACATTCCTGACAAATATTAAGATTTAAATTAATCAAATCTAATTAGTAAGGGACAGAGTGAAACAACCTTCCCCCTTCCATGAATCAATTTAATTACACTCATTACTAGGCTAAAAACAAAGGCTCTTTTAATAGATGTGTGATGATGAACATTCAGATAAGTTCCAGCACATTTATTACATTTTGATTGACATTTCTGATACAGAGTTTAAAACAGCATAGATGGTTCTCCATCTGCTCCCCATCCCATAATTCTCCCACCAATAGAACCTAAAACTTGGAGGGCCTCTGAAGACTGCATTTATTCTGTTTATCACTTAACCAGCACCACGCAACAACCAGAATGTGGGGGTCAGATTGCAAAATTGTTTCAATCAATAAAACTGTAAAACATTAACCTATATTATTGAAGAACACAGAAAGGATTTCAGTATATGTATGTGTGTGCAAAAAGATAGATAAGCACACACTCAAAGACACAAGCTTCCCAGAACAATGTGGAATAATATAAAATCAAACCTGAGTATAGGTATTGTGGATGCCATGTAATTTTGTTCCTCCTTGTAACTTAGCTCTATTTGTTGCAATTATTCTGAAATGTCTGTATACTAATGATCACTTCTCTTCTAATTTTAGAGGGAGACACCCCTTCCTTCCTTCCTTCCTTCCTTCCTTCCTTCCTTCCTTCCTTCCTTCCTTCCTTCCTTCCTTCCTTCCTTCCTTCTTTCCATCTCTGCTTGCTTGCCTGCCTCTATCATTTCTGCTTCTTTCTTGATTTTGGCCAATAATAATATGGAATTACCAGAGCCACTATTTTCAGTCTTTCAGATGACAGGAAGAATTTGGGAGCATTAACCCTCTACAGTAGGGTGTCAAACTGATGGCCCTTGGACCAGATGTGTCACACACAGGCCACGGCAACCCTGGCTTTGCAAAGGAAAAAAAAAGTCACAATACGTCATATGACTCAATCGAGTTTGACACACGTGCTCCACAATGTTTAAAATACTCATTTCTTTAAAATCTCCTTAATATCTTTGTTAATAAATTTATAAAACACTTACTAATTGACACCAACTACTAGAGATTTTTGTGGGACAAAGAAAGAAAAAAGGCTATAGGCCATAGGTTGTGTTTTTATAATGTACACTACCGTGTTTTCCAGATTGGTTGAACTACAGTTTCCCAAATCCCTTTCTTCTTCAGACTGATATCTTCCACATCTGTATATGTGTGTGTATACATGTGCACGTACATGCTATGTGGTATGTACATTACTTTCAGGCTCAACAGACAATGATCTGCCCATGACAAAGAGGGATGTTAATGTCCCATAACATCCAAATCACATCACCACCATGTGACCCTACTGTGAAACCATGAAATTTGTGCTGTTTTTAAATCTACCTACAGGAAGGGCAGACTGAAGTCTCCTAGAATCATATGCCTGAGGAAGAACATTGCCAAACCTGAAACAGCTTCAAGCCTCATAAGCAGGGATATTGTAATATAGCAGAGAGGCTAGCACAGTAACATAACTCTCTGCTGGTCCTCATGTGCTGACAAAATCATCCTCAGTATGTTCACAGCCACCAACTTTGGAGGTGGGGGGGTATCTATTTTGTCATTACACAAGCTCATCCCTTCTTTGTGATAGCTATTTTCAAAGAAGATTTTAAAAGTCTGCATGGAACACCAGATTGCCACAGTTTCTAATACATATTTCAAACGATCTGTCAGAATACTTCTTACCATACCACCCCCCCCACTTTTGAGTTAGACCAGAAAAATCATTCTGTCTTATAGTATCAAGGTCAGGTTCACATAACTCATTCTGTGTGGTTCTGCTTTTGAAGACAGTTCAGAGGATGTAACTACTGGAGAATATTTTAGTTCACTAGGAATATTGTATTGAGAAAGAAATAATGAAGAAGGACATCTCTTATTTTAAAAATAAACTTCATGATAGTAAGAACTTAGGGTCAATAATGGCTTATACATAGAATTATTGCTGTTTGCTGAAAAAGACAGGGCAGCTTTGAAATGCAGAAAAAAACTTAATATTAACACATTCCATACAGCAATAAACATTCCAGGAAATAATGGTATCATGGGTAGTATTCCTCCAAATCCATAGCAACACTGTTAGAAAATCACTTGCTTCTTCTGTATAATAAATCTCCAAACTATTAAAAACAAAACATTTTTTTCAACACACAGTCAGTCATCTACCTGGGTACTTGAACTAAATTCCATGATAATACTATTTCTAATTTTACATGAGGAATGATTGTATAATTAACCATTAACTACTCATGTTTTTTTTTTCTGAACTGTCCCCAACTAAGATATGCTAGCCTTTTTTTAACCATCTTTATCCCTCAGGTAGCATATCTTCTCTAGCAGTTGGTGAAAACATTTTGGGCAATTATCTGAATAGGTATTTGAAGCGTCTTCAATTTTCTTGGTGCAGACAAAGAAAATCTCCAAAATTCTAAAAAGGCAAGGCAGGATATTGTAGCTTCTATCTCTGTCATCCATTAGCCAGAAACATTATACAGGCCAGTTCCAGATTTAAAAGTGCCACAGACAAGGATCCTTCTTTGTGATACTTGTCTGTATTTTTGAGGACCTTATTTTGTAATGCATTAGTGCCATTTTGACAATTTTGATAGATGAGATGATTTACTAAATAGATGAGATGATTTACTAAAGTTGTGTAAGAGCCAAACAACATGTAATATTAATAATTATTGTTGCTGTAAATAGCAGGCTTATGGAGGATAGTAAAGGGCATGGCATTCGGAGTAATAATCAATAACTTTCTGTCCAGAGATTCCTTGTATTCTGATCATTGTTATCCCATTGTGATTAGTTATAGAAGGTAAAATTTGAAGTCTTCTATAACTAATCCTTCCAGAGATTTATATTAGCTTCTAGGAAAAAGTAGTTTTATTGATAATACCTAGAACTACTACAGCAGAAGTAAAGTTTGACAAATATTGATGGAGCAAAAAGGATGCATCTGCTCTTTAATTAAAAATAGATAGAAGATAGATAGATAGATAGATAGATAGATAGATAGATAGATAGATAGATAGATAGATAGATGGATGTAGGTAGCTAGATAATATGTATATAAAATTATATTTATGTTTATGTCTCACTATCTTCTGTTTACTTAAGAGTA